GCCTGCCCCCCGCGGAGTCGGGGTCTCCTCCGCACCCCGCCCCGCAGACCTCGAGCCCCGCCTCTCCCGGGTCTGGGCTGCTTCCCGCCGCCTGGTCTGTTCCTCTGCCTGGGGAATGCTTGCCTCCCCCCACTTCCTTTTTTCTTTTTAGAAATATCTAAACCCAAACACTGACATTTTTTACTTTTCAATGAATATTAACTCTATAAGAACACATTAGGTGGTACTGTATACCCATAAATGCTGGTAGGCAGTTGTGGGCCTTCGGTTTTGTGGTTATTTTACTTTTATTTTTTTAGAGAGAGAGGGAGAGAGAGAAACATCGATGAGAGAGCAACATGGATTGGCGGCCTCCTGCGCAGGCCCCCAGGGATCGAGCCCGCACCCCAGGCAAGTGCCCTGCGGGGAGCTGAGCCTCCGATTTCGGTGCTGGGGAGGACGCTAACCCCTGAGCCACACCGGCCAGACTCGTCTTTTGATGAAGTGAAGGTCCTTACCTTTGGGGGGGTTGTAGGCCTCTGCAAATATAATCAAAGCCTTGGACACTCTGCCTAGAGCAGGGCCCCTCCCAATTTTGCATTTACTTTGAGAGTCCCTGGACCTGAAGCCCATCTGTTGAATCCCAGATGGGTCTTTTAATTTTGCTAAACGTCAGCTCCATCGGGGCACAACTAGGAGGAAAGGCACTGTCCCCGGTGCCTCGGCTGAGGGTGTTTGCACCTGCACAGCACCACTCCAGAGCACTTCTTCTTAACCTGCTGCTTTGAAACAGACAGGAAGTTGCAAAACCAGCCCCTTGAGCCCCGTGAGTCCTTGGCCAGCTCCCCGCAGTGGTCACATCCTAGGTGGCTGGGGTGTGATAGCAGAACCAGGAACTTGGCGCCAGCACCATGGGGTTATGTGTTCCCCAGACAGTTAGGACACAGCTGCCCGTCTCCTGAGCCGCTCCTCCCTGTTCCCGCCAGCCCCTAATCTGTCCATCTCCATAGTTTTGTCATTAAGGACTCTCTGAAAATAATAATTTGCCCTCTGGCTGCTCTGCACTCCTCTGTGCTCCTTAGACGGCCCGTCAGCAAGACCCCGGGTTAAGCCCCATGGTCTCCTGGGATTCCTAGCTTGGCTACCTAGCAAGAACTTGTGTGTTGGGTAGAGAGTGGTTTAGAGACAGAAAGCATTCTTCGATCACCGTGTCCAGCCCCTGCCGCTGGCGCCGTGTGGAAGCAGGGTGCGCACACCCTCTGCTGAACTCTGCCAGCTGCCTCCCTCCCACCCAACACTGGAAGTCAGCCTTCGCAGGGCACCTGTCTCTGGGGCACCCTCCGTCTCTGGCGCTAGGGTTTTTTTAAAAATCCTCACGCGAGGATATTTTTTCCAGTGCTTTTCAAAGAGAGAGAGACACATCGTGCCATTGGCCAGAATTGAACCTGGGACCCTTCAGTCCGTGGCTGACGCTCTAACCACAGAGCCAAACCAGCTAGGGCTCCGGTGCTAGTCTTGTTGGTGATTTTATCTTTGTGCAAACAGCTGCCCCGTGGCCAGCCTTCCAGGGTGGGGAGGGACGTGTGTGGGAAGTGTGGCTGTACCTCGACTCGGAAAACACTGGACTCTGCGTGTTTAGGGCTTAGAGGGGATGGGTCACAGATTTCAGGGTGGAGGCAAGCCTCCACTTACTTTCCTGCTTTCCAAAATTACCTCTCTAGCCATCGATGAGTACAAGCCACAGGATGCCACCACCAACCCCTCCCTGATCCTGGCAGCTGCGCAGATGCCCGCCTACCAGGAGCTGGTGGAGGAGGCGATCGCCTACGGCCAGAAGCTGGGCGGGTGAGTGCTGCTGGGGACACAAGGTACAGCTGCGGGCTGCAGGCTGAGGGGCATCCGTGGGCCCAGGCGAGTCCATGCGTCTCCCTCACTGAGTTAGTTCTCAGCTGTCTTGCGCTCAAGAGACATGCCTTTTAAATGTGTTTTCATCAGCTTTGCCAAAGTGGTGTTTCCACGAAGCCAGTGTGCAGCTCGGAGCCTGTGCACAGAAGCAGTCAGGGTGCAGAGCACCTGCAGCATCTAAGCTCCCCTTCCCTGCCAGGGGCCCAGCCCTGGCAGCCACTGACCTGCTTTCTGTCATTAGATGTCTTTTTTTGTTGATGTCCTGTAACAGCTTTCTTGGAGTAAAAGTCACTGTCTTAGTTGCACAGTCCAGTTTCTTGGGGAGGTTTATGCTGTGGCATAGCCATTGCTGCCATCCAGTCCCAGGATGTCCCTGCTGCCCCTGTGGTCAGTCCCTGCCCCCTCCTCCAGGCCACCACGCTGAGGCAGTATTCATAAATTTGCCTTTCCTAGGTGTCATTTCACATTTTCAGCAGGGTCGTCATGCACAGCTGAGAACAGTGTCTTCAGGGAACTGTGGCCCCTGCTGGGACACTCGGGTGGTGTGTGGGAGTCTGCCCCGCCTTCCACCGTGCACCCCCCCCCC